GTGAGTGTAGCAGTGGAGAACAAGCCCCACCCCCACCTCGCAGATGAGCCGCCCATGGCCCCATCCCACTCCCCGCCAGGGCCCTGCAGCCGTGCATTCTGGCCCTGGGCCCCAAGCCTCAGGCACTGCCTAGCTGGGCAGCAGCCCCAGCCCTGCCCAACTTCCTCCCTCATTATGGAGGTAGGCCTCAATCCCCTGCCACTCCCACCATACTTACCTGTGGGAGTTGCCCTTTAGGCTGCCTGGCAGCCATGTGCATATACATGCACATGGCACCCCTTGCCTGACCACCCTCCTCTCACGCTGCCCAGCCCCTTGCAGGCTGGAACTCTGCCAGCCTGCAGAGAGCTCTTTGCAAAAGTGCAAAATCTGTGTGTTTCTCCATTAAAATGAAAAATCCGCATTTCTCTCAGGTAAAAGGGGAAATCCGCAGTTTTTTCCATATTCCGATGGGGAACAAAACCTGGATCCCTGGCTATGCAACAAACTATGAAACAATTTAAGACTTAATACAATTCAAAATATGATAACGAACCCTGGATGAAGTTTAGGTTCACAGGAATCAAAACAGGAGTTAAATAAGCAACATTGAGCATAACTGAGCATAATATGTTTCTGTAATTATAAAGGATTTTGTAAAACCAAAGAAACAAAACAATGAAATTTCTCATATTTACTTGATTATAAGACAGGGTGTCATCACCCCTCCCCCCAATTCATCATGGGAGAAACAAAGCCTTGTCTTAGAATTACACTTCACAACTGAGAGCTGTGAGAAAACTGCGCAGGAGCCCAGCTCCCAATTTCTCCTTCCCTGCCCTGCTCCTTTCTCCCCTACTCCTGCCATGGGGAGACAGCAGAAGGGAAAGGGGAAAGGAAGCAGGGCAGGAAAAACCTGTGGGGTGCCAAGCAGGGTTCTCAGCACAGCTGCTTCCTACAGTGTGGGCAGGAGCAACTCTGCAGCTCCCCCTGTACCATGATCAGCAAGGAAAGCAGCTGGGGGAGGAAGTAAATGGTAAGGTGGTAGTCACCAGGAGGGCAAGTGATATGGGGCAGGATGCTGGCTCCCCTACTCTGGCTTTTCCCATGCCTGCCCCTGCTTTCCCTGCCTCCTACTCCTTTCATCTGCTTTCCCCACCCCCACCCACCCCCTTGCTTCTGCTTTTCCCACTGCGTGCCCCACTGCTGCTGGTTCTTGATGCAGCAGTGGGGGGAACAAATTTAAGATGACCCCCCCAATAATTAGATCCCAGATGTGGAAATTTATAACAAAAATTCAAAGTTACCTTAGCATTGAGTAAATATGGTAAGAAACAACGAAAGAGCCACTCTGAACTCTATCCCATTTTAAATAAACCTCAGCAGCAAATGGCTTTTTAGGGACTGGATGTCAGATGCAGATGTAGTGCAAGGACCTGGGTATTGCACTTCAATGTTATGAAATTAACATTTAAAATTTGAATAGAAATCCTTTTATCTCAATCATTCATTGATGGCTGTCATTTCAATATTTAAATATTTCAAGATTAAAAAAATAAAAATTAGAATGTTTCAAACTTTGCATCATACCTCTAGAAACTGATGGAATACTGGAAAAAGAGGCCATGTTTTTCCTAACAGAAGCCCCAACATGCACTTGGCAGTATTTATGTCTAGGCTGCGCTGGTCCTTCTCCTATCAGATGGAAAGCAGACAAAGTAACAATGTAATCTCTGTATTTTTCATTAGCACCATACAGCTAAATCATCAGTTAATTCTTAGCACATTATAAAAAAGTAAGGACAAATAGTAGAATTGTTCTGTTAAGACTGTTAAGGTTTTCACCAATTAAAGGTAATGAGGTTTACTGTTGAAAACTGTAGTTACTGACCAGGCTACAGAAAGGTACTTTCCATACTAACTGTAGTTTTTAAAGGTTCTCGCCTGTAGACACAGAATACAATTTTAGGATGCAACCTAAAATCTTTCTGGAAGGCAGTGGTTCTTCATTTTCTATTCATGTTCTACCTATGTCTTTCTGCGAACATTGCTATGTGAACCGTCAGAAAGGGATCTTGAGCCATAAGGAACATCACATCTGTGTTCAGGTGATCCACAAGGTAATTTGTCCTGTATGATGATTAAATTATGCCCAGATTCAGTGAGCTATCAAGCAAACACAAGGAACACATGCAGTGAGAGGCAGTACATGGAGACTGTCCTACAGAACTCAGGTTTTCATTCCAGATGCAACAGTAATGTTAGCTTGGGGTAGTTACTTTTGAAATGGAAAACAATGCCTTTGTGTGTCATCTGTAACTGTAAGATTCATTACTGTTAATAAAGGAGTTAGTGAGGTACAAATTCACAAGAAAGGCAAAATGCAGAACTTTATGTATTTAAATTTCTGTAAAAATATACACAAATTATATTAAATCAGGCCATTTTATATCTTACGTTTGCTTTCCATTTTAGTGTGTGTGTATTCAAGTGAAACATTGTTAAATTCAAACACTCAGAAACTGGGAGGTAAAATCCCCTCAATTAAATTACTGCAATGACCTACCAATACTGAATATTAAAGAAGTTGCATAAGACAGTGCCAAGAGGGACTCAAATTATGTTCCACGGCATAGGCAGGTGTTCATTTGAAGTGCTAAAAATTTCAGGAAAATTTGCAGGTCCACAAAAGCACAGTGTCAAAAGCAGGTACAGCTAATCAAGCGCCTGTATGCAGTGATCCCAGCATGCTTTGCATGGGCCTCCATTTCCAGAGGAAAGCCCTAACTTGCTGGCTGCCCAGGGACTGGGAGCACACAGCCACAGCATGCCTGGTCAGTTTCCACTGGCAAAGGCTCATCAATTTCACTTGCAGCTTGCAACAAATCCTGTCTGCCCACCCACCTTTCAGCTCCTGATCCAGCAGTGGCACCAGGTCCAGTGCAAGCCATAGTCCTTGGCAAAAAGTCAAAGCCTGCCACTGCTTCTTCATACAGCTTGTTCAACTGCTGTTTACACAGGACAACAGCCATGTAGCCAAGCCCTCAATTATGTCCACACAGTCTCCCGTTTGCCAACCAGTTTGGTGTAGGCAAGTCCACAGTAAGAAAGGCAGTGCAGGAGGTATTACTGGCTAACAAGCAGATGCTGACAGCGTACTTCACCCACCTCATTAACCCAATAGTGGTTGGCAGCAGGAGGGTTCTGATGACTTAGTAGATGCTTCCCCAGCCAAGCATGCCAAGCTCATCTGCTGCAGCAACCCCTCAGGCTCCCAGGACTTGCACCGTGCCAGGCCCTGGGCCTCGACTGACTGCAGAGTGCTGCACAAAGCATGCACACATCTGGCCCTTGGTTGGCACTGCACTACAGGGCTCTGAAGTTCCCTTTGCTTTAGGAAAGGGGCTGATCAGTCTCCCTTTTGACACAGATATGGCATTTACTAATTGTAAAAGCTGAGCACAGACTCTGACATACCCACACATGAGTGCAACCACCTACAATTTCTTGCTGTGTGCCCTCGCTTAGCTTGTTAATAATGTCAGAAATGCTGACACAACAGGAACAGATATTTCTACAAGGCAGGAGGATCTGGGAGGTGGATTTCTGAGGTGTTTTTTGGCATATTCACAAAAACAGGACACCAAGCAGCAAGTCCATGTGGCAATCTGCAAATTGGCTCTGCCTCCTTGAGGCAGTAAAATTTGACATGACAGACAGAGTCCCTGGAGCCATGGGAGGGTGGAGGCAAGGAATAAAGCCTCCTGGGATGCTGGAGGACTGAGCCATACCCTGTGACACTATGCATAACTATATAGAAATTACACCTGGTGCTAGAATACTTAGTATTGGTAAGTTACTGTTGGAAAGAGCTAACATTTTGTTGCAATATCACCTTTTTTTCTGTGACACTTAAATGGTTATATGCTTGCCTTTTTCCTGTGCTAAAAGTTGGATTTCTCACCACTTACATAATGCATGCCCATGGCTTCAGCCAGAGCCGACTATAACCTATAAATGTTCATGTTAGGAGAGTTTGGAGATTATTATTTAGCCAAGATGTTTTCAGGATTGCTTAATAGGATGACCAGCAATATTGGAAAACGATATCTGTATAAAGAACATAAGACAACAGCAGAGAAAAAACTTCCCTTACACGTTACAAAATATCCAGCGTCTCATCTGTGAGAGTATTGTGTACATGAGGTAACCTAAATTTGTATAAAAACACCTATTTTAAAGGAACATTACAGTTGCAAAGCCAAGCACTCACCAGTTACAAAAGGCTCAATTTAAGATAATCCTGCTTGAGTGCATACCATATGTCCTGGTAACCTTTTCAGCTGTATTGCAGCAGCATGTAAGAACCCAGTCATAGACCAGGACCTCATTTGCTCTAGCTGCTGTACAAACACAGATCATAAAGGTAGTCCCTACCCTACAAAGCTTCCCTGCCATTTCTGCACAGAAGTGGAGTCATTCAGTATGCAGGAAGCATGGCAATAATATGGCTGCTCAATTATTTTTTTTAACTCTCATTTAATGCAACTCCTGTTCTGGCTTTTACTACGCACAATTCAAAAGCTTACACTAAAATATTTTCTAAGAAATATTTTGCCTTTCATATTGCACTTACCACTGCAGTAACCACGTCTCAGATACACTTTTCCAAAACACCTTGGTATAGGAAAGTACTATTCTCATTTTATAAATCAGGCACACAGAAACATTAAGGTCAAAATACTCAGAAATATCCACTAAATCTGTGCCCAAATGAAATAAATGAGTATGCAAATGAAAATACCTATGCTTCATTTTTTGTTACGCTGATACTGAGTTTTGCGTTTTCAGTTGAAGCTGGTAGTACTCAGCACTTCAATGTCAAATCCTAGCTGATTTAATTGGGCATCCAGGAAAGCGGGCAAGTAAAACAAAGAGTCACTGATAAGACCAGATTTAAATAAGTTTCCCCAATACAGAGAAAAAAGCAAAGTTAAAGATAGATCCAAGTTCTACTGGCCTGTATTTCAATAACTTTATTATAAGAATATTCTCCACACACTCCCAACCATGTCTCATTTAGTACACACCCAGCTTCTGAAGATAACTGTGTCACTGGAATATAAAAATATGTGTGCGTACTACTCGTGGCAAAGTCACAACAGGGAGAAGATCACAGTTATAACGGCCACAAAAAAGAGGTCAATTACAATTCCTTTGCCTCTAACAGGATACTTGAATTCTGGGGTGGGCAAAATACCCTGCACAATACTGGAGTTATCATACAACACAGAAGCAAAGAATGCACTATTTAGCAAAAAGCTGTAGATCTGAGACAAGTTTTACTTTAGTATGCCAAATACCACTTTTACTTTTGTATGTTCAGTATGTAAATAACCTAGGAGTTTTTTCCTGCAAAACCTAATTACACATCATCTTTATTTGTTATTTCCTGACACTTTTACTTATGAAAGCATTTACATATCTGTCTGTGTCTTTGGTGTATTTCTTCCTTTCACATCCACAGGTCAAGGATGAAATGAGTTAAGAGTTTCACAGCTGGTCTCTACAGTTGCAGATTTTCTGATGACCAAACTATTCTAAACTGGTGAAGGCAGATGATACATTATTAATTTGTAACTATTTGCTTCTCAGTGTCCTACTGGTTGGCATGAAAACACAGGTCTGAAAACTCACATTTGTTTGCTTTCTAATGTAATTCTTGAGATGGAAATTGCTGGGACCCTAATTTTTTTCTATTAAAAAAACCAAACACCCTTTTTAAAATTTCAGTCTGGCTTCATGTTAACTGAGCTGCCATTTGGAGGACTGCTTATCAGCAAAATCTGAATTTTCTAGCCTACCTGTTAAGCCATGCAATGCCTTTACCTATACTTTTGACAATATACTGTATCCTTGTTTGAGACCACTGACTGTTAAACTGTTAATATAATTCTGCATTTACAGGGCAAGCTGAACCTCAATTATTTTTATAATTTCTCTAATCAGGATGTTCTAGTGAACTGCAATAGAAACTGTCAAATTCTCTCAAAATCTTAGCGTAGGGTGGGTCAGTTTTTGCCATTCATTGTTTTCTTTGAAGATAACCCAGGGTAAAAAAAAATCTTATGATCTTTCAGATCAAAATCAAGTTTGCTCTTATCTCAGTTTTGCTGCAACTATTTACTTTATTTTTCTGCATCACAGAAGACATTAAAATTTATCCAATTACTGCAGTCTCTTATATCACCTTTCTTTGATATTTTGAAATATAGTATCATTTTTTTCAGAGACTTTCCTGGTTCTACACTTCACTGAAACATCCAGTTATTCATGAAATAAGAGTAATCTTTCAATATTTGTTTCACTATTTTCCAGGTTGACTTAGCCAGGGTTTTCTCCAGCTATTAACATTTCATGATTTTCTGAGAGATGTTGCAACACCTAGTTCTAGGTTCTTAATTTCTTTGTCAAATTAATGGTTTGACAAGCCGAGTTGTTCAATGAAAATCTGTCTACTACTCTCTCTCTATTCTTTTGTTAAGGGTTGGTTTTTTTTGTAAGAGATCCTCTAGAGAATATTGACTTGTTTGAGAAACATGCTGAGTTTACCTTTTTCAGTAGCCTCTTCAACTTCTCCAGTATGTACTTCCTCTTGTCTTCAATTTATGGTTTTCTCCTATGTTTTATGCTGCAAAAAGCTATTTCTTTTTTGTAGGTATTTAAGGGGTAAGATACTTACTTTAGTTTGCTTACCTCCTTTGAAACACTTCCCTGTATCCTTACTTATCCAGACTTTAGCTTCTTACCTAATAGCTAGTTAACATAACAGTCACGCAAAAAGTTAACATTGATGTGTCATAATACTCATGGTGAACATAAATCCCACACATCTAGACCTGTTCAGATTAACTTTAAATTGTTTTTGTAAAATTTAATCTGTTAACCTTCTGTTAATTTTTTTGTTGCTTTGAGGGACTTTGTTCTTTCCCACATGCTAATCTTCAGCTTTGCCACATAAATTGTGATCATTATAGAAGTCTGATCTTCTGTACGCTTTAACATTCTGGAGAGTAAATCTAGCTCTCCTTCCAAAACACTGATAGTCAAGCTGAGTATTTCCAAGTTATCTTACAGAACCTGTTGTGAGGGAATGAAACTCCTTCCAATAATGATCCCTGATGCCATACATTGTCCTACCTGTATATCTTCTGCATTAGATATTATTCTGATTTGATTGTTTCTAATAACTCTTTTGGAAGACTGTAAAATTAGTACTTATGAACCAAAATTTACATCACAGACAGCTTTTTTCCTCAGGTTTCCAAGAAACAAAAACTCCTAGGTTTGTGTTGAAAAAAAAATGGAGATCAATACATAACTCAGCGGACTAGTAAATGAAGCTATGGGCTTTACACTAGAGACTTTTACCATATGATCTCTCTCTTCATTCAAGTGCCAATAAAAAACCCTTTAAATTAGTCTGAGCCAGCACTGACAGCATTACTTTGACAACCCGTTTTAAAGCTCATTATGATGACACTGCACCTCATTACTTTTAATCATAAAAGTCTAGCCCAGCAGTACTCAACCTCTGTACCACAAGTCAAATGCAGCCCACAAAGCCTTGGAATCCAGCCTGTGGAGCTCCCCAGGGCTCAGAAAATTTGGCAGCAGTAACAGTTAAAACTTCCACCCCTCCCCACTGCCAAAATCCCTAACTCTGCACGGTGGATCAGAGCCCGGCCACAACCTACCCACTGCACAGCTGGTTTAATGCTGGCCCATGCCCCCTCTTCCCCACCCCCTATGGGTCTGGCCCATTCCCATTCCCTCCACCAGGCTAGGTTGGGGCTGGGTCACACCCATTTCTCCCTGAGCCACCCTGCCCTGCCCCCCACTCCCCGCCTGCATGGCTGGATGGGTGCCTGATGCACCTGTCTCAGGTGCCAGATTGCAGCCACCAGTCAGATGCAGCCTGCAGAAGGACCAGACACTGCCCATCCAGCCCACAGAGGCAAAAGGTTGCCACTGATCTAGCCTATTCTGTTATGCAGAAGGTCAAGGAGTTCCACTGTGAAGAACCTATAGAAAACATTTACTTGAAAAGAAAAAATTAAATTTGGCACTGCATTAAGAGTAACATTTGAGATACTGATTTTCTGCAAGTGTAACACATGGTTCCGTCCGACTTAATAGATTCCTCTGGAATTAATGCAGGTTTTACCCTGTTACAACTGCCTTTTTAATACAAAGGGGAAAAAATGTATTTTGGGCCTCAATGCCCAGTAATGTGTCTTCTGCAAGGCTATTATTACCTTGAAAAGGTTTAAAAATAGTGACAGTATTTCTTTCGAAATAGTCCCTTATATATGAAGTACCTGGATTTCCAATATACTAATATTATAAAAGCCTTAGTCTGTCTGTCTGTAATGCTTTATTTGCACTCTGATTGGCTGACTGAAACAGAGTGCTCCACGAGCATTCAAACAGGAGACGGCGCAGACACAGGGGATGGGTGTGGGGGCCAGGCCAGCTGCAGGTAGTGGTGACAGATCAGGGGAGCCACTGCCCCACTGCCACCTGGTCCTGACAAAAGTCAGCAGGGAGGGGAGGGAGGGGCACAGTGATGGCACCCTACCACCGCCACCACCACCAGGCCCTGCCAACAGCTGGGACAGAGGGAGGGGAGCAGGGAGGGGAGGCAGGTGGACACAGGCCAGGCGGACCCAGAGTGCGGTGGTGGTCAGGAGCGGCACCGGACTTGAAGCAGAGGGAGGGGGGGAATGGACCCAGACTGGGGGGGGACGGCGGAGCAGGGCCAGACCTGAAATGCGGGGGGGGGGCACAACACTGGCCTCTGTCAGCCCCTCCCCCATCATTCTTGACAGGCAATTGGTTAGTAGCTTTCCGATTGCTATAATAAAAAGAAGAGATGCAATCCCCTTAAGCCTTGAAAATATCTGCCTGAATAAGCAGGCACATTTTAAGAGCTAGAGTGCCCATCTCTAACATGACTGTGAGTATTTTACATTATCACAGTATCTAAGTGCATCAGTTTTTCATGTATGTACACACAATTCCCTAGGTCAGGGGTGTCAAACTCACCCCACCTCCCAGGCTGGACCTAGACTGCTGAGCTCCTTGCAAGCCGGATCCATGAGACCAGCAACTATGGAAGCAGCAACAATGGTAGTGGGGCAAGCAACTACGAGCCAAGAAGCAGGCTAAGTGGCTCTAGGGCAAGCAGGGCTGTGTTAGCACAGCCCTCACTCATGTGCCTGTCACCAACACTCATGTCCAACAGGCCCCCAGGGCTCCAGCTTCCACACTGCCCCCCACATCCCACTACCCATGGCCTAGCACTAGGCCAACAGTTCTGTGGGTCAAATCTAGCCCACAGGCCATAGGTTTGATATCGATGTCCTGGGTAACAGGAAAGTACTGTTTTCACTTTACAGATGGGAAACTGAGTCAGACAGATACTAAGGTTCTGAAATCCTCCACCAATTAAGTCAATGGGAGCCCTGTGGTTTGTTTCAATAAGCACAGTAATGGGGCCCAAGTGATCTGTCAAAATCATGAAGAAAAACTGTGACAGCACACGCAACTAAGCTTGAATATTCCACATTCAAAACTAATACTACAGCATTGTTCTTCCCCCACATGTATTCTTCCTTTGAGATTCTGATATTTGATATGTGTTTCAAATTCTGTGCAAGATGGGTTTTAAAGAGCAAACACATTGCTTCTAGCATGTGCCAGTGTCAGAAGAAACTTTGACAGATATTCTAGGAACAACTAGTACAACTTCTAAAATACCAGGCATGAAAGTAAACCTACAGAGAGCTATAAAAAACCATAATGCCAGACTCTGTACTCTTGGACTACTCACCCGTGCAAAGTCAAATGCATATCTATAAATAAGTTTAAAATTTGTTGGCTCATTTAATAAAGTTCTTAAGTAATCCAAGGAATTCCTTAGTTTTTCTGTTGTATCACATCTATAAAAAAAGAGAAGGTGATTTTATAGCCAAGATCTAGTACTGAAAACATATCCATCTCTGCTTTCATTCCCCTCCTTTGTATGCCTCTTCCACAGAAGTTAGACATATGGCTCCAGGCTTGTCTTCAAGAGTTGCATGAATTTGGGCTGAACCCAAAATGTGAATGGAAATGGATTTAGGTAAAATGGCGTAAAACCTTAGGTTGTATAAACTCTTTTGGTCCAAAAGTTTAGGTAGGTTTAAATTAAACCTAAAGGAAAACATGTTCCCAATCAATTTAAAAAACTAGAAACTTACCTATACAAGGCAATTAAATGTTAGAACAGGTGTTGGCAATGTTTTTGGATAGAGTGCCAAAAACACCCACAACCTTGGCTTGTAAAATGTTGGCATTCCAGGGGCAGACAGTGGAGGAGCCACCAGGGGCCTGATCCTTGTTGTGGCAGCATAGCCCCAGCCCCTTCCCCACCATCCACCGAGGCACGCATGCACCCACCGCCAGCAACAAGCCAGGCTGGGGCTCTGCAGATACCAATGCAGCTGCTTGCAGCCTCCTGGCTACCTGCCACAGCTGGCCCAGGCTCTGGGGCAAGTCTCTGACACCCACCACAGAGTTTGGCCTGCTTGCAGCAGATGGTAGGGAGACTGCAAGTAGCTGCACTGGGGTTCGCAGAACCCTAGCCCAGGTCATTGCCAGAAGTGGGTGCACTCATGCCCCGGGGAGGATGGTGGGGAAGGGGCCAGTGTGGCGCTGCCACAACAAGGATCATGCTCCTCGTGGCTCCTCCACCACCTGCCTTGAGGCATGCATGCCAAGCAAAATGTCTTTGCGTGCCACACACTGGCACATGTGCTGGGGGTTGCCTAAATAGAAAAAATATACGTATATAAATCAGCTGATGGAACTCTGTGTATGACCATTTTTAAAGTGTCTTAATTCTACCATCATTGTGCTGCTTTGGATAAATCAGACTTATCTCTGCCTACATTCTCCTACCTTTATTTGCAACCCAGAATTCTCTCTCTAGTGGTCCTTCAATTTCCCTACACTGAGAAGCCCTCAAAAGAAAGGGCTTCAGCCTATTTTGTTCTTCAGCCAAAATAACTGTGTGAACAAAGAGTTCACACCAAATCAATTTACACAATTAAGTTAACTATTGCTGATCCCTAGTGTACTCATGCACACAGATCCAGACCCACACCCAGGCCCAGGGCCAGAGGTTAAAAGTAGTACTTTCACATCAGTTTAAGTTGATAAGCTACAAGTTTCAGTTAAGTCTAAGGGCTGGTCAATATTACAAGATGTCTGCTGATGAAACGTCTTCCAACTGAATGCAGCCTCTATGTAGAAGATGCCAAAGCATCCACTCAATAGAAGCTGTGTGGAGGTGCCAGAAGCCAGGCAAAATTGCAGCTCTACTGGCAGGGGAGGACATACGGTGTATACTAGGAGACACCAGGTGATAAAAGGTGCTGCAAAGCTAGCAGAAAACTTGGGCAAGTCTATACATTCTCAGTTTTGTTCTGCAGAATTTGAGTTATGTCAGCTAAACAATGTAGTGGGGACCAGGTGCAGGACACCCAAGCAAAAACAAACAGAAAAAAGAGTGCCCTTATCAGAGTTTGTGCCAATATAAACACTGATGATTTTTAATGGAGTGCAACAAAGCTTGCGACTAGTAACAAAGTGCTATGGTTATTTGATGCTTTAAACAATTCATGCTATAATAGCCTGGCACTGGGTCTGCATAGCCACAGCATATCTAAAGCATGAACACACTGGTCAAATCAAAATTACCTGGTACAAGCCCCATCACTAACAGGTTAAAAGGAGGCCCAGGAGAGAGAAACTTTGTCCCAAAGTTTGGACTATAGGGAGGGGGCAGGCTTCTTTTTAATAGAAGCGTACCTGGAAGCAATACTTTGAGGAACCAAAAGTACTGAGGAGGATAACTGTAAAAGGGATGCAAAGCAGATACTTCTGGTAGTAGGTTTGGGTCAACAGAGCAGAAGCCAAAAGGATAATGCCTTATTTTCAGACAGAGTTAAGTAAATAAAGCAGATTCAAGACAAGATTCTGTATTCCTTTTAGCTAGTACTATTACATCCACAGACATAATAAACATTATGTCTGAGGTTGCACGTATTTTAAGACTTTTTGGTTTAGTCATCAGAGCTTATGTAGCCTAGTTGTGAGGATGCATAAGGTTTAAAAATGTCTGAAAGCCACACGCTGCTGTAAGTAGGAAAAGGGTGAAATCTTATGTCTACTTCTCTGGAGAGGAGCACTAAATCAACACATACACTAAATCAACATAACTCTGGATACAAATGCATTTTAAATTACTAGATTTACTATAACAAAATACAAAAAGCTTATAAAACTTCAAGGCACTTACTGCAGTGATGTCATTCCTTTTAACCATTCTTGCAATGTAAAGTAACCCATGTTTTGTGCATCCAATTTCCAAGCTAACACAAGCATAACTACCTGTTTAAGAGAGCACACTATTAGGTAAAACAAAAAATAGTCTTGGACAGTTATTACTTAACAGACTGCCACATGCTCTTATTTGGTTTAGAGTAAAAGTCATTCAAATATGAATGGAACAGTCAGGATACTCAGGACTCTTCCTACCAAGAAAATGGAGCTTTTTAGAAGCTCTAGATTTTAGCAAACTGCTCATCTATATAATAAATAATTGTGCATTGCACTGTCCTTCCTGATAACTCTGGAAAGTCAAATCAAACTACACCTGTAAATTCTTTGGGGGAGATATGGGCTCTGCTGTAATTTTCATATTGTGAAGTGTGCTCCAACTTTTGGCCCTACGTTAAATTAATTCAAGATTAATGAACCTCTCTCCTGAAAATAAGGGTACCTATGTCAGTAAATGTAGGTCTTCAAGACAACATCACCTCTGCATATTTCAACCTGGGGAATGTGCTTGCTGTACACTGCCTCATGAAACAGGCTCTCACATCAAATACCTGCAACTACGGGCCATAAGAGGAGACAGCAATCTATTGTTGCCACAAGCCAGAGCTTGCAGTCCCAAGCTCCTGCTGTGGGCCAAAAACCTCCAGCCCCCAAAATGCTCAAGCAATCTCCATCAACTTTTGCTGCAGATTTCAGGACCTTCTGCAGCAAGGTAAGTGCAGGCAGAGAAAACAGCATGGAGGGGTACAAAGATGGGTACTGTGGAGGTCATGGGCAACACAACAGTTGCATGCCACCTCAGGTCAGGTTGGACCTTCCTGGACTCTCTGCAGGCCACAGGTTGTCAACCCCTGAACTATAATATAGCTTTATGGATTTGAATGAAAACACAAAGTAGTAAACTCTACACCAAGTAGTAACTCTACAGTAATACAGAAATCCTCAGCTTTGGGAAGGCTGACTGTCACAAACTCAGGAGACTGGTCAGCCAGGCACTAAGAGACCATGTTCCCTTAGAAAGGGGAGTCCAAAAGGAATGGTTGTTCCTTAAGAACGCAATCCTTGAAGCACAAGGAAAGTCAATTCTGTCCTGCAGGAAATGGAGTCAGCAGGCTGGGGAACCCCCTTGGCTCAGTAGGGAACTTTTGGACCTCCTGAAACTAGAGAGAGAAGCCTACAACAGATGGAAAATGGGAATCATCACCAAGGAGGATTACACAGCACTGGCCTGCACCTGTACAGAGCACACCAGAAAAGCCAAGGCAGAAACCAAACTCAGGCTAGCCACGGGAATCAAGGACAACAAAAAGTCCTTCTTCAGCTTTGTGGGAAGTTGGAAAAAGAACAAAGGTAACATTGGGACCCCTGCTAGATCAAATGGGGTAGCTGACGTCTGGCACTCAGGAAAAGGCCACTTTCCTAAATGACTACTTTGCATCAGTCTTCCACCTGGCCCAAGGTGGTCACCCTATCAGACTGGACACAAAGCATCCAGGGGGTGGGAGATGGGCCCACAATTGACACAGATCAAGTGAGGGAACACCTCGAGAGGCTCAACATCAATAAGTCCACAGGCCCAGATGGACTGCACCCAAGAGTCCTGAAGGAGCTGGTGGACATCATAGCACACCCTATGGCGAAGATATTTGAGAACTTGTGGCACTCAGGAGAGGTACCAGAAGAGTGGAAAAGAGGCAATGTGGTCCCAATCTTCAAGAAAGGAAGGAAGGAAGATCCAGGGAATTACAGGCCAATCAGTCTGACATCCATCCCTGGAAAGATCCTGGAGAAATCATCTAGGGTTCCATCAGCAACAGGCTAATGGAAGGCAACTTTCTGAGTACCAGCCAACACGGTTTTGTTGCTGGAAGGTCTTACCTAATCAATCTCATCTCCTTCTATGACCAGGTGACGCATTGCCTGGACATGGGGGATGAGTTTGATGTTATATATCTGGATTTGAAGAAAGCCTTTGACCTGGTCTCCCATGATGTCCTCACGGTTAAGCTGGAGAACTGCAGCCTCAACCATCTCACGGTCCAATGGCTGGGGAACTGATCAAAGGCCAAGGGAGCAAACCTTATGAGGAGAGACTGAGGGACACGGGACTCTTCAACCTGGAGAAGAGAAGGCTCAGGGGGGACTTGATAGCAGCCTGTGAGTATATAAGCAGTGTGGCACCAGGATCTGGAAGAACAATTGTTCACCAGGACTCCCCAAGGGATAACAAGATCAAACGGCCACAAACTTCTGGAAGGCCGATGTAGACTTGACATAATTAAAAACTTCTTTACAGTCCGAATGTGCAAGGCGTGGAACAGACTCCCCCCAGAGGTGGTGCAAGCACCTACTCTGGATACATTCAAAAGGCATTTGGATGCTTATCTTGCTGGGATCACTTGACCCCAGCAGACTTTCTGCCAATGGCAGGGGGGCTGGACTTGCTCTTGTGAGGTCCCTTCCAGCCCCAACAGATGTTCCCTATTGCCCAGTTTCAAAATGGTGTATGTCACATAGACAAGACTAGTAAATTATTCTCGCATTTGAAACTCCACTCTCCTCAGAAATCTGAAGCAAGCAAAGGAAGTCCAACAGCCTTTGTTATTATTGTTCAATTTGAATCAGCCAACACATCTTTTAAAATCTACTTTTCAGAAGTTAACAATTACCACTTCTAAAATTAATCAAACTTGGCATTTATACTCATACTTTTTGGTCCTACAACGTGCCAGTGATCTACTGCTTTGGAGCAGACTCAATTAATCGAGTCTGCTCCTCATGCGAGCTGATGCGTGCTGCACTGTATCGCATGCAGTCATATAAGCACTGAAATGAGCATTAGTGCATAGAAAATGACACTGGAGCACTTTTGAACTAAAGCACCTTCTATGCATTTTAGTTCAAATGTACACCTCTGTCATTTTCACAGCACTGATGGACATTTTGCTGCTTATACAACTCCAAGCATCGCAGCACCGGGCACTTTTCAAAAAGCCCAGCACTGAGGCACTTGTGCATGTGTAAAAATGCCCAATGTTTTCAGAGTGCACCTAAACAATCAATAAGCCTTCTTGCCTAATGTTTCACTAATTAAAACTAGAGGTGCACTGACAGTGATTCTGGGAGCCAATACTGACAGCTGATTTTTATGGAGGCATATTGGTCGATAACAATCTGATTTCTGATACAGCTGCGTGCAGCTAGTAAGCTTGTTGTGGTGAAAAGGGAAGTGAGGAGGGAAGGGGCATGGGGGGGCAGATCTATGCTCCCCATGGTGAGGGAGGGAGTGGGGCTGGAGTAGGCACTGCCCAGCTGCAGTATGGCAGGCATGGGATGGAGCCACGGTGCATCTGGGGCACGGCGGGGGGGCCGGCTCCTGCCACTCACCTGGGAGGGTGGCATGTGCCCCTGGATCTGCGCGGGGTGGGGCAGGGCAGGCCGCAGCTGCAGGATGGGGGCACCCCTGCCCCCCACCCCCGCGCCCTCCCAGACAAGCAGCAAGAGCAGCCTTCCCCACTCCCCACCCCCCAGATGACCCACAGCTCCATCCCATGCTTGCCCCGTCCCGGCTGGGCAGTGCATATCCCAGCCCCAGCCACGCTCCCTCCCTTGCTGTGTGGGGATGTTGATCTGCCCATGCCCCTTCCCTCATCGGCCCCCCTCCCCCACCACAAGCTTACCAGCTGCACGCAGGTCTCCACACTGCTGGCTGTGCTCCTCACTGCCTACATGCTGCACTGTGGCTGCACACACACATGGGAATTTATCTGCCAAATTATTGGCCACTTCAGGCCAGATTTCCGATATAGTCAATTTTCTTCATATTGGTGCCAATCCGATATCAGACTAACGTGTTTTTGCATCTCTAATTAAAGCTATGACAACTTTTTAAAATGGAAAATGCGTCTAATGTTTCATGAAGATAACTGGTCAACAGTTTACCAGGCTACTTGCTGAAGCATGATCAGGAAAAAGCTTCAACTTACATTTTCTGGTTCAACTCCAATGTCTTCACAAAATTTCTCCATGCCCTCAGGACCCACAACATCATCAGTTCCTGCAATCAAAATGCTATTTTACATTTATGTTTAATTTAAAATTCACTGGAAGCTTATCACTGATGCAAAAGAAAAGCAAACACGCAACACAGACTCAAATTTTGTATGATTCCGTTTGTTTACTTGCATATAAAGAAAAATTATGTAACATTAATTAGAGTTCCATGCACTGTCCTTGTGCACCTCCTCATTATGGGTACACATACATAACAACACTTACACTCAGAATTTTTGCCTTAACATTACTCAAAGCACACTGTAGCCTGAACCCCGCTCAAGCTCTGTATAAAGGCAGTATAGGATACCACACACTACCTCCTTTTTGGTTTCCTCTCAACCCCAGTCAAAGTTGCATGCAACTCCAAGGAAGATGGGATGAGAGCAGGATGTGGGTGCAGACGTGCATGCGCTCATGCAAAACTAACAACACATCTCTAGGAACTCTACTTATTGATAAGTAACTTCTCTCGTCTCCCTTGAGTGATTTTACATAGGCACAATGTGACTACAGGTGACTCCAAAGTGGCATTTGCACACCTGGAGGTGGGTCTCAACATTTCTAGCCCCATGGCTTGGGTGAGTGTCACAGGGAGAGTCCACAGACTGGAACCCATGCACAGAGCAGCCTAGTCTGCTGGCCCTTCCCCTCACCACTGGATGCTGCACATGGAGCAACATTGTGTACCACTAGCAACTTTCCAGACCCATGGGCCAGATAACATAACTCCAGAGACTGGATTCAGCCTGCAAGCCAGAGGTTGAGCTCCACTGCTCTAGGTAAATAACTGGAAGACTCCATTTTACTAAATATGGAAAAGGTACGAATGGAGCTCCACATGGTCACCTTGCAGATACATATTAGTTAGAATCACAGGAAATAAGGGATGTAAGGGTCCTCATGAGGTAATCTAGCCCAGCCCCCTGCTCAAGGCAGGATCATCCCCAACTAAACTATCCCAGCCATGCGTCCGTCTATCCCACTCTTGAACATTCCCAGGGATAGACATTCCAGGTAGTTCCAGGGAATGTCTCTCAGTAGCCTGTTCCAATGCCTGACAACCCTCATAGACAGACAGTTCCTTCTAACTTCCAACCTAAGTTTTCTCTGCTGCAATTTGAAGGTCTTGCTCTGAGTCCTGTCTATCTCCATCCTCTTTATAATTGCCCTCCAGGTACTGGAAGACTTACCAAATCCTCCCTCAGTCTTCTCTTCTCCGGACTAAGGAACCCCCATTTATTTCAGCCTTTCCTCCTAAGTCAGGCTTCCTTGACCTCTAATCATTTTTGTCACTCTCCACTAGATTCTTTCCCATCTGTCCGCATCTTTCTTGAAGTTTTGGACCCAAAACTGAACTCAGTACTCCAGGTAAGGCCTCACTAGTGCTGAACAGAGCTGCATAATCACTTTCTTTGACTTGCAATAGAGACAGTATTATTAGAGATACTGCAATAGAGATGCAACTGAGTAAGCTGTTGCTTTTTTGGCAACAAGAAGATATTGTTGGCTCCTATTCAGGTTATGATCCACTGTAATCCCCAGGTTCTTTCCTCCAGTATTGCAGCCAAGCCCGTCATTCCCATTCCCCAATCTGTAATTCTGCATGCAATTGTTCAGGTACAGGACTTTGTTATATCTCATCTGATTGATTGGAAGCCACTTCTGCAGTCTATCCAAGTCATTTTGGATCTTAGCTCTACTCTGCAGCAATGGTTCGCAACCTTTTTAGACTCAAGGCACCCCTCAGAAAATGACAACTCTTAATTTTTACTCTTTTCTTTAATACAGAAAAATAACAGAGCAATTCTTCTGTTGTTGCAAAGAACTCAGAAAGAGCACAGATCAGAATGCTTCCAATGCTACAGATTCCTATTTAAAATCTCTGGGTTTATCTTGTGAATGAAACATGTTCACACATCTAACAGTGCTAACACTGCACAACACCCTAGGGCACCCTTGAAACAATCTCAGGGCACCCCAGGATACTGTGGCACCTGGTTGAGAATCACTGCTCTAGGACAGTGTTTCTCAACCTTTCAAGTAACAAGTACCCTCCAACTTCTGAAAATGTTAATAAGTACCCAAACACTCAAGTTTCTAAGGGGATTGTATATTTACTAACTAATGTGTGCCAAATGTTGGAAGAAGGGCTATGTACATAGGGCTGTGATATGACAGATGTCTGATCTGGTGTGGGTAGGGTTGCCACCTTTTACACCAGGGGTGCACAACTCAAGTATGTACCTGGGCTAGAGGTGATGTTGGCCAAAGCTGGGAGGGCTGAACCCAGTGCTGTACAAAGCGTGGCATGCCAAATTATTACTGGGGAATTTAAAGCGCTGCACAATCTGCAGCGCACCCATTTTTTTGCCATAGTTTTGGGAGGAGGAAGGGGCGAGAGAGAGAGGAAAAGAGGGCAAGAGACAGAGCAAGTGTTGGGGTACCTGCATACCCCCTGCCTGTGTCTCGCGTACCCCCAGGGGTACGCGTACCACAGGTTGAGAAACTACGCTCTAGGGTTTCTGCAATGTGGACAACACCAAGTTATGTGAAAATTTGCTAAGCAGGCACTCAATCTCATCATCCAAATAAATAATGAAGATGTTTAACAATACCAGGATAGACTCCTGGGAAAACCCACTTGATATCTCCTCCCAGCTAGATGTTGAGCCATTGAACAGTACTCTTTGAGCACAACAATCCAACCTGTTTTGTGTCCACTTTGTAGTACTCTTGTCTAATCCATATATCCTTAGCTTGTTAAAGAAAAATGTTGTGGGAGACAGCGCATGCTTCTCCGCTGTTCGTGCCCAGGATCGCAGAGATGTCTGCATCACCCGAGCAATGCTAGGAGATGACGAATGCCAGATCAATCACCACTCATCTCCTTGGCTATGTCATTCAACTGGCTCCCAAGCAACACCTGCAGCAGAAGCAATGCTGACTCAAGATCAACATCAAAGGACTCAAGGACCCAATCAAGTGAGACCTCTTCCACCAGTGTCTCAATTAAAATCTGGCAAACTCCAATCAACAACACTAGAATGGTCGGCAGCACTTGGGGTCTATCATCAGCACCTGTGAAGAGACACCTGGATTCTCTACCAGGAAACATCAAGACTGGTTTGATAAGAATGACCAGGAGATTCAAGAGATGATCAACCACAAGTGCAAGGCCTTTTGCACTCGGCAAAATGACATCAACTCCAAGCAAAAGAAACTAAGTCAGAGGTTTTCAACTTTTTTTTAAACAAGTGTACCCCTTCTGCCTCAAAGTTTCAGGTCATGTACCCCTTTATAATTTTTTCTTGTTTTTAAACTGTGGGGGGGCAGATTGAGGCCCCCATGGTAAGGGAGGAGGTAGAGTTGGAGCAGGGGCAGGCACTGCACAGCCAGGGCAGAGTGCAGGACAGAGCTGTGAGAGCGGTTCATCTGGGGGGTGCAAGGAGCGAGGGCAGCTCCCGCCACTGCATTTACCCTGGCAGACACCTGAGGGGCATGTGCCCCCCAGATCTGTGTATGGTGTGGAGGCAGCTGCTGCTGGAGGCTGGACTCTGCACCCCCCTGCCGCTTCCCCAAGAGCTGTGCAACACTATGTGCCTGCTGCCACTGGGAAGGCAGGGGACAGACACCCCCCGTCCCCATCAGGTAAGTGTGTGGGAGGGAGGCGGGGCAGGGGAGAGGGAAGGGGCTCAGGGGCACCAGGTCGGAGATGGTGAGGAGGAGGGAGTGTGTCTCTGTGCCCACTTCCATTCAGGTTGCAGGGGGCGGGGCCCCGATGGCAGCAGCACTTCTCTGCTGGCCGCACATGTACAACCCGGATGGACAGACGGAGTGAGGGGGCAGGGGGCTTATATGCAGTTGCTGCCACCATCACCAAGACCTCCCGCTGCCGCACCCGCACCGCTTTTCTACTGCCTGTCGCATGTGCATCTCCGTGGGCTGCTGATAGACCTTGAGCCCAGCCGATTGTGCACTGCCCATCAGCAGCCCCTGGAGCCACACATGTGATGGGCTATAGGAAAGTGGTGTGGCAGCAGTGGTGGTGCAGGGCAGTGGGTGACAGCGGCAGCCACTACGTGCAAGCCCCCCTCACCTCATCCAGCTGGCTGGGTGGTGCATGTATAGCCTGCAGAGGGGCTCCACTGCCCTCGCCACCCCCAGCCCTGCTCCTGGGAATGAGCACAGAGAGTGAGCTGAAGTGGGGGGCGGGGAGGCGCCACAGTGTGCTAAGTGGGGCTGGTGGCACCCAGCATGCCCCTCTCCCTTCCTGGGGTAAGAAGTAAAGTATGGGAATGCACCCAGGGGAAACGCCGCCACCGCACCCCAGGGCATGCTCCATCCCTGCCTGCCTGTGTGTACCCCCTACAACCTAAGTACCCCCATTTGACAACCCCTGAACTAAGTCATCAAGAAGCCAAGGCAGAGGTCCAAAGGAGGGCCTGTGATATGAAAAGCAGATGGTGGGAAGGCAAGGCAAAGGAGATTCAACACCTTGCCAATGTCCATGATTTGTACAGTTTTTTGTGTCACCAAAGCCATCTACGGTCCAAGCACTCAGGGACCAACACCCTTGAGACCAAAGGATAAAGAAAACCTGATCAAGGAAAGGGGAAACATCAATGCCCGCTGGAAGGAGCCTTTTGAAGACCTTTTCAATCAAGACTGCTATTGATGAGAGTATGCTGCAACACCCAGTATGAAACGATCTCAGAATCCCCGCAACCCTTAATGAGATGAGTAAAGTCATCAAGCAGATGAAAAATCACAAGACGTCTGGAGCCAACGGAATTCCCACCTAAATCTTCAAGCGGGGGAAGAGAAGCTCACATCACAGCTCTATGCCCTCATCTTAAAGGTCTTGAATGATGAGGAAAACCCAGATGACCTCAGGGATGCCATTATCTCAGGGGTGGGCAATTATTTCAGCTGGAGGATCACTTAACAAGTTTTGACAAGCTGTGGAGGGCCGCAAGGGCAGCCCCTCCCCTCCCCTCCCCT